CCCCAAAACCCCAAAACCCCAAAACCCCAAAACCCCAAAACCCCATTAGGTATTCTAATCAAGTTATTGTTTTATCTGCTTAATCAAATCTTTGTAGTGATCTTGGTTATTACCAACCATCTTCTTAAAGAACTTTCCTTTATTCTTTTCAGTAATATCTAAGTCAGGCTTGTGCTTTGTGATAGAGTAGAAATACTTGTCAGAGTTTGCATTTTTAACCTTCTTTGGCTTGTAGCCGAGTAATCTGGATGCATTTTCAACAGTGTACCCCTTTGTTGGATATTCATCTTCTTCCGCTTTAATTTCGTCTTGATAATCTCTAATTTCAGAAGAGTCAAGCTCTCCTTTGAGGAACATTTCTAGTCTCATATTTTTAGCATAGGTGCCATAAGGCTTAATCTTTGCATTTTTCCTTGTAAACTTCTGAGCAAGCTCGTCTGCTTTATAAATATTCCATTCTTCTTCTTGACCAAATTGACCAATGAAAAAGCCATCGAAGCTATGAAGGTGAATATTCCTGTCGTCCGATCAACTGATAATGAACTTATTTTCGCATTCTTTGAGCTCAGCCACAGCTATGCTATTTATAATAGCTCGGTGGCCCTTAATAAACCACAAGACATCTAGCTCTCTGGAGGTCTTGAAATCAAAGATTTTCAGGTCAAACTTTTTAATACAGCCACTAGTGTCTCCACAGAAAAGAGTCTCATCTACACTTCAGCTGGCTATAGCAGTGAGGGCTTCTTCAGGATGGAACTTCGCAGAGACTTTGTTAAGCAGTTTTCCGTTTTTGGTATCCCAAAACCTTATATATTGATCAGCTGTTCCTGTTAATAGAATTCCTTCAGTTTCTAGAACAAGCATACAGTCTACTGATTTGGCATCAAGAGCAGGCGAATCACTGACGCAAGTATCGTCTTCAAGATGGAGCTCGAATTTGGCTCGCTTCGTTTCAAAATTCCAGCCGATGATTCTTCCTTCATGGGACCCTGTGAAGACAAGATTGTCTTTTCTAGAATAAACCACTGACATAATATCATCATGATGTTTAACGCCTTGATCACTTTGAGGAAGGATATTACTCTGGAAGATTTCATCTTCTTTATTATCTGGGTAGATATAAACATGCTTGTTCCATCCAACAGCCAGGATGTTACCAAACTCCTGTTTATTATTAGTGTTTGACACAAAACATAGGTCTGTTACCTCTGACTCTTTTGCTTCAGGCTTTGTTGGGATACAGGTGCTGATTTCCTGTCCGTTAGAGAAATTCCAGACCTTGATAGATCCATCTGCTGCGCTTGTTACCAATCTTCTTTGGCTCTCATCAAAACAGGCAGATGTAATCTTGGTGTTCTTACCATGAGCATTTCCAAACTTAGACATAAGCTTTCCGTTTTCAATATCCCAAACAGAGATAAAGCTCCCGTCATCACAAGAAACCACAGACTCGAACTCTGTATTGTACAGAGCTATTGACACAGGATATTCATGAGAAGTCTTGATCTCCTCTTGAGTTTTAAAGAACCAACTATTGATCTTCCGTGACCCAAGAAGAATGTTGTTAGAAATCTTGTCAAAGAATATACAGGTCAATCTATCCTCTGGTCTGTAACATATCTTGTCAAATATAGTCTGGATGCACTTATAGGTCCTAATGTCCCATATCTTGACAACCTTGTCAGTACCTAAACTGATGAGGTGATGTCTATCATCATTAATTGTCAAGTCATGTACAGAAGTATTATGTCCGTTAAGGTATGTGATTGCTCTTCGTGTGAATGGATCCCACATAATAATATGTCTTTCCTCCCCACAACTTGCAACAAACCTATGCCTCTCACTGTACACGAAGGAGCTGACACCCTTCTGGTGCAAGGAGAAACTCCTATCTTTATAATTCAGGTTTTCTACCTCATGGAAATGCAGGAATCCACCAGAAGAGCTAGAAAGAAGAGAGTTCAAGTCCTCAATATATTTAATCTTGGTAATGCATCCTTGGTGGATTTGAACAGACATGAACTCAAAATTTATTCTTAACTTTGTAAGCTTCTTGTTCTTGGACCCAAGAGGGTCTTTGTTCCCATTCTCATCTTTATTTTTATCTAAAAATGAGGATTAAGACTACCTTTCTTAGCCTTCTTATCAATTTTCTTTTTATCTGCCTTAGAATCCTTTTTCTTCTTCTCTTCACTATCTTCAGAATCACTAGGCTCAAATCTAAAGGAAAGTTTAATTTGAGTAAAATAACGGGTAGAACTCTATAAATAGTATAATATACTTGTTAATGAAATAGGTAGGTTAATTAAACATTACCTCTTTTTAATTTCGTCTTTATGGCATCAATAATGAGTCGGATCATCTATTCTCCACTCACAAGAATGCCATTCTTTTGAGAAATCATACATATATCAGATTCCCATGTCATCTCCCACAATCAAAGTTTCAACTCCAAGTTTTGGCTTTAAAAAGTAATCCATTCAAAGAGGAAGGCCATCAAAATCAGCTATCTCACTAACAGGGAGGTTTATATTGGTTAAGGAAAGATCATAAAACTTAAGAGTTCGATCAGAGCAGGCTGCAACTAATCTCTTCGACTTAGTCATATATTGGATGCAATTAACCCAGTACCTTCCAACATTAATTGTGAGGTGTCATTCCTGTGTATTTCCATTCCAAATTTTTATTTTCCCATCTCTGCTAGAGGTAATATACTTCACATTCTTCTTGCTAAAATAAGATTTTTGTTCTTCCTTCTGCTCTTCCTTCAGTTCTTCTTCTTCATCAACTGACAACTTTTTCTTGTCCTCATCTTCCGGTGTGAGCACTAGAATGCAAGTTATCATGTCTGAGTGTCATAATTTGGTCTTGTTGGGCGCAGGATCCTCTGCATTAGATTTAACGTATTCAAAATGCTCTGCTTTCATTGACGATAAAGTCTCGTTCTCTAGAAGCATATAGTTCATAAATTCATTCCAATCAACACTTCCGTTAGAATCTGCATCGATTTTCATGAATAATTGGTTGATTTGCTTATCGTTCATATCTTTTCCAATAATTCCACCAAAGGCATCCATGAATTCCTCGAGTTCTAGGGCTCCATCTTTGTGCTTCTTGGCTGCATCGAACGCTTCTCTGAGCTCCATAATGTGTTGCAAGGAAATTTGCTCTGAAGCGCTCTGCTTCTCTTTCTCTTCTTGACCTAAAATACCCTTCATATCATGAAGAGCTTCGGATTCTTCTCCCTTTTTGTCATATTCTGGGTCTATTTTTCTTGAAGACTTAACTATACCTTCCATTTAAATAAATTTTATCGATTATAAGAATTTTGGGGTTTTGGGGTTTTGGGGTTTTGGGGTTTTGGGG